ATGTCTGGCTGCGGAAGCATCAGCAGCTTTTGCAGACAAATTTTCTTTTCAGACTCCAGAAGCTGCCTCACGGAAACATGATATTGTGCACCAGCAAGCTGACGGTAGCGACTGAAGCGCTCTTCAAGAGTGTCAGTTTGAAATTTTCCCCAAGACATACTTGAACTTCAGTTCTTCTAAACAGTACCGCGACAGCTCAACAAGGGAGTAGCAAGTGAGTCTCAACGCAGAATGTGTTTACCTTGTCAAGCAGCCACGGCTCATGTTGACGCTGCTCCAAGCATCCAGCCAGTCTACCATGCCACTAAGGAAAACCAGCTGTTGATCCACCGTAGAATTCACTGGATTTTGAAGGGTGTCGTTCAGTCGACGACCTTTCGAAGGGTCTTCACGTTGACGATTTCCACCACGTCGATATGATGTTTATGAAGAGAGCTGTTGAACTGGCACATGTGGTTTCAAGGGCATTGCCACGCGTCTCAAGTGCGTTTGATACAAACGGATTAATTACATTTAACACCAACTTTACATTTGTCTCTTCATAGGTGTTGGATTGATTGCCTTGGAATTTAGCTTGTAGCCAAGCTTGAGAAGCGATGTCTGCTCCAGTGCATACAGCTGCCGTACGGCTTCAAATGATGCTGCTTTCATTCTGGGCGGCCCGTTTGGCAATATTCCTAACAGGTTCACTTCAGGAAAGTAAAAGCATATTCCTTCGTTTTTTTTTTATTCATCCAGTTGTTCCTGATGCATTTCAGTATGTGCACAGGGTCTACGACTTGAAACAGAGGCGATTGTTGTCGGCTGGATGAGGATAGACAATGCTTACTTCCTGTTTCTCTGAGAAAAACGACAACATTTTCCGGTTGAGGGAATTGTTCGGTAATTACAGCAATGACCCTGAGGCCCATAGATTCCACTTCTAAAATTACTTTCTTGCAGAACTCATGTAGAATTTCAGCGGTCATTTTAGCAACAGGAAGAATGTGACACATCTTTGTTTGATGACAAGAGCGACTGAAGCATGAAAACATGAGCGGTTGTGGCTGCCTCTTGAGAATTGGCTGCAGATCCAACTATGCTGCCCCCTTTATAATCGAAGTATGGCTTGATATGAATTTCATCAACCATTAGCGTCACAGTCTTTTGTGCGGCTGCATGCACTTCACTCTTTCTAGAATGTAGGAGAGGAAGTTCGCTTCGTTTTGCTCCTTCAGTGGATCGCCTCCATACTTGGAACAAACGCGGTGCAAGGTTGAAGGATGGGGTAAAGTCAACGTCGACGCTGATCTGGCAAAGTTATAGGCGTGCGGAGATATGGAGTGCAGGATGCTAGAAAACACTAATGTTTTAGCACTGTAGCGACAAATGGGGCAGCGAGTGCGAGAGCTATTTGCTCATTTAGCAAACGAAACAAAGCACTGTGTTCTTCGGTCGTGTCACTGTCTTGGGACAGTTCATTCAATAAGGAGCCGATATGCTGCAACACTGACGCTGTTTTCGACGGACTTGCAACTTCAGGCGTCTCAGTCATGTGGTTTTCCAGCTGCTGGAGCAGTGAGGACAACGTCCGGATGTCGCGCACTGCGTCTGGAACTGCGCCTCCGCAAGGTAATGAAACCAGCTTGATCATACCTGCGAGACTGCAAGTGAGAGATCAGCAAGCACAGTGAATGAAAAACCTCACGTGCGGTGAAGTATTATCTTCGGTGCGGAGAAACATCACACAACGATCGTTGGCCTTGATGGTCCAGAAATCATTACTGCATACAGCAGAAAGCTTGCCTCTTAAGTGTTCGAAAGAGGACACAGCATTTCTTTCCCTTCGCTTTTTTTTTGCGCATATAGAGTCCTTAATCGCTTTGCTCAAGGCCTCATCTTCCATTCGAGCTCGTTTCGAGACAGAAGATTCTCGACGATTGCGATTCGTGCTCAGGTAGGACGGACAGTTCGGAAACACCGATGGTATAGCATCTGACACTAGGCGCACCCTCTCGCTGTCGACTGTCAATGTCCGTCCCGACGCTGCGTCGAAATGTGACAGCTTTGTGATGAAGTCAGCCTCGAGGAAGTGGAGTTCACAGACCTGCGCCAAGCATAACAGTGACTTCATTACTTTCATACGAAACGGGCTAATGGGAACTTTGACACGAGCCTGAGTATTTCTGTTCTATTTTACCGCACTGCCCTACCTGAAGCGCGACAAAACTACCATCACCACTCACGATACTCGTCCGTTCAACAGTAACAGAGCCAGAACGCCAGTAATGCGATAGAGCCGGTAAGACAACAAACTTCAGCAGTTTCTCACCTTAGAGTGTATGCTTGTCGTGAAATCCTTTCGTGGCTTGTCCACCGTTCGGGGTAAAAAGTGCGCGGGGTGACGAACACCACCACCTGAGCGACGCTCCTCGGCCACTGGACAGTCGGTGATATGCCCGAGGAGGGGTTGAGGCTGCCACCCAGGATCCGGCGAAGGACGACTCTTGCGACGTGTCTCACGAACAAGTAGAAGATGCGTTTAATTTACATATTTGCAAGAGAAGTACATTGCAACGAGAGTGTACAGACGCGCCTTTCCATCACAAGGGCCCAGAGTGCACTCGAGACGACGGGCCAGCGAAGCCCAGAGAGAGAGCACAGCGCACTCCCGACACGCTCCTTTTATAGCCGTCCGTGCACGTGCTAGACGCTGACTGTGTCCCAGCGACGCTGATGTGCATTTCCTGCGGCGCACACAGACGCCTCCCGCGTTCCTGCAGGACGCGGACAGCGTTTGACCGTTACGCCGATGAGCGTCCCTTGCAAGCCACCTCCTTGCTGTGCCGGTCAAACATCGGACAACTAGCGTGACGTATGCCGTCTGGAGAGGGGTATGAACGGGCCTTGTGAATAGTCTAGGTGGTGTTGGTGGTACCAGCTAAGCGTTTTTCATCTGCGGCCAATAGGGGCGCGTCAGTCGAGAGTTGTCGAGACCTACAACTGCACACCGCAAATTCGGAGGCTATGCAAAGTGTTGCGTTGTGCACCGTCCGCCACAGGTGACGCTAGCGACCGAAAACATTCTAAAATAATGGAGGGAAAGGGTGTGGCAGCCGTTTTTCTCTCATGCGGCAGGCATCTTCTAGAGGAGGCGTTGCGGCGACGGGTGATAACAGCCAACGCCTCCTCTAGAAAGATTCCTGAGGAATTGCTCGTGCTCCAGCGGAGTTGGCCTGCCTTCAGTTTTAAACAAGCTCCGCGCGGTGGCGCTCGCGACCCAATTATCACGGTGACGAGCGTACCACTTAGCGTTTTTCATCTGCGGCCCATAGGGGCGCGTCAGTCGAGAATTGTTTGAGACCTGCAGTTGTGCACCACTGTTTCGGAGGCTATGCAAAGTGGTGCGTTGTTGCACCGTCCGCCACAGCTGACGCTAGCGACCGAGAACATTTTCAAAGTGAAGGAGGAAAAAGGTATGGTAGCTGTTTTTTTTTCCCATGCGGCAGGCATTTTCCTAGAGGAGGCGTTGTAGCAGCTAAGCGTTTTTCATTTACGGTCGATAGGGGGCGCGTCAGTCGAGAGTTGTTTGAGACCTGCAATTGTGCATCACTGTTTCGGAGACTATGCAAAGTGTTGCGTTGTTGCACCGTCCGCCACAGGTGACGCTAGCGACCAAGAACATAGAAGGGGTAGACACAGTATGCAGTGCGTGTGGAGGGAAGAAGAAACTGCCGAACACTTGATAATGTTCTGTAAAGGGCTTCAACCTATATTCAGGATGATGGCGCAGAGTTTTTCAAAGCACTGGGATTTAGGGACAGCGAGGGCAAAATAGACTTTAAGCGGGTAGACTTAACTAGAAGGAGGTTATCTGATTGGTGGCTGATGTCAAGGCACGAGAAATTAAACCCTTCACTGCTAAGTACGAATCCTCAACTTCATTATTTAAAGGAAAAAAAAAGATAAATGTAATGGTTAGTTCACTAAGTATTACGGCTAGGTAGCGTTAGCCGCCGCCCGATCTAAAGGGTACAGTCACATCTATCCATTCATTTTAAAATGAAAGAGGGAAAAGGTGTGGCACACGGAGGAAGGAAAGGTCTTCCGTGGTGTGGCAGCTGTTTTTCTGCTCATGCGGCCGTCATCTTTCTAGAGGAAGCGTTGGTATTACCCCTCATTCCCATGGTCGTTGAACGATCGCAGTGCCAGAGTGCCCTCTAGTCAATTTTGGGAAACTCTATGGGTACAGCCACATCCATCCATCCATCCTGCGCTCGGGGAGATATTTCTACCCACGGGGGAAGGAAAGTCCTTCCTCCGGTTTTTCTGTGTTTCTACCAGCCAAAAGGGCGTAAGGTGTAACATTCCACTTCCTTGTGGAAAACGGGATGCCTTACCGAGTGGCAAAGATAACAGCGATAATGCGAACGGTTCCACCGCGGTCATCTCGCACCCCGATATTTGATCAGTCCGCCGTCATATAACCGTAATCAATCAGCACGGATCATAGTCGACGCCGAAATTGACTTGGGAACGTGCGAAATGGTGTGTTAGGATATTTAGGTTCATTGACATGAAAGACGCGTGCTCATCTGTAAAGCGCGCAAAACAAGCTTAAAGACTAGCGCTGTGTGCGTCGTGTCTCTTCTTCGTCCGCGTCTTGAAAGCGCGTCTACTTCGTCAATATGCAGAACGAACTAGCCAAAACTAAGTGGAATGCAACTGGGAGGTTGAAAACCCTTTCGGCTGCGACTCACGAGTCTCTTGAATACGAAACCGAAACTGCACTCACGTCGTCGTCAACAGACTGCCAATGGCTTGCCACTAGCCACGAAACAAACGAAATCTGTGTTGCGTGCGGCGGTGTTTGTGTGTGTATGCGGACGCGCCACTTTCATTTTAATTTTAAGAAATTATCTCGGGCGTGTGACTCGCAAAAAACATGCCTCTGACGTTCCAGAGACTTGCTTGCGTCGTCGGACGAATTCGCAAAGAGGTCATTCGGGGACGTGGTAAGTCATAGCCTCCTATATAACTTTATAGAGGAGGCTATGGGTAAGTGCTGTGACCAAATGTCAAGTAGTCAAATGCCAGAGACGTAGTAAGTTCCCAGACCTCTGCTCCATGTCAGCGTGGCGTGAAAACTTTTGACCCCCTCTCCAACTGTACTTTACGGCCGCTTTCAAAGAACTGATCCAAAGCAACAGAGGAATGAATGAGCTGGTAAGTATTCATTGTGAAAAAAAAAAAAAAATTGCCCGCAGCTTCCCTCGGGGGAACACTGAGGAGGATGCGGAAGCATGTAATGGTTAACGGGTGTTAAATTGCGACTTACTTGGGTCGATGGCTAAATTGGTTAACGTGGTTGTGAATGGGGTGTTAAATGAGTGAACACGTACGGCACGTATGCGAAAGGGCGGTGTTTTTTATTGCGACGAACTTTGAGGACGATGGCTTTGTGGTCGGTAAAGTAAGAGTGAGTGGATCGGGTTGCATCGGTCGTAGGTCGAAATTTGCAAAGACGTGGTCGATGCAGGTTCCGCGAATGGTGGTCGGCTGGTGGTGTTTGCAGTCGTCGTGCGTTGCGCGTTTCAGCGAGTGTCGCGACGCCATGTATTCGACTATCCAATCGTCCTTGATGACGTCGACGTTGAAGTCGCCAACTAGCATGAACGGTCGATGTTGCGTTGTTGTTTTCTGTAATCTTGCACGGCCTCGTCGACGTACTTTTCTACGGCGGCACGAGAGAGGTTTGGCGCGAGTACATCGTCATGACGTCGACGCCACAGACGGTAGCAACGCAGTGCTCGCCGTTGGCGCGTTGTTGAACGCCGGGCTGTAGCGCGCGCGGCACAGATGGTGGGCGACGGCGCGACGGCGCATGCGCGCGTGTCAGCTGTCGAATGTTCGAGAAGCGGTGCGGACGGCGCGGATGGCGCACTACAAGGCGCGAGTATAAGATGCTTCCGCATCTAAAACCGTGCGAACAACGGGCACAAGAACAGCAAACGTTGAATAACAACTGTAAAGGCGCACAACAGCGGAAAAGAAGGAAGCACGAGAAGTTGCCGGTGCTCACCTATCATCGGGTAGGTGTGGTGTTCCATACATGAAGATAATTTAGCCTAACTAGCGGTGTCATAGAAGGTGAGAGCAAGCTATCAGAGTTCAAGGCGGTCTGATTGTGGTAGACGATGGTACGTTAAACAAAAAAAAAAGCTCGATCCCTAACTCAGTTAATTAACCGCGATGTTTTCTGCACAGTATAGCTAAACTTAAGTTGGGTTTTACATTAAGATTTTCTACGCCGTGTTGACCGGGGGCACATTTATGTTCGAATAAATTGTATTTCTTTTTCTCCTCAGTGATACCTTTTGCAACACAGGCATGCAGGACGCTATAGAGCATGGTTTTAAGATGTGCCTTAAGTACAGTGTGACCAACAGTCTAAGCGAATCTTTTAAACTGTAAATGCATCAAATTCTTTTTGTCAACTTCAGCAGGTTCTGCTGAGGGAGGATTTTCCGCTTAGCAATTGTTTCCCAACTGATAGTCTGATAGTAGAAAATTAGCTGCAAACACGACTTCCCTAGTGGAACTAAAAAAAAAAAAAACTTCCTTTCGCAAATTATTTCCAGTTGGCCATTATTTGCCATTCCTTAAGTCATCCCTTACCAAGTCATCCCTCACCATGTGAGCATAAAAAGGAGTGCCAGCTATAATGCACATGTTATGCACCTTTCAGGTGTAGGTAATTCTTTTGCATGACCACTGTAGCTGAATGTTTAAGTAGTCCATTATGTTAAGTCCGAACATGGTTGCAGAAAAACTTGGAAAAATCATGTCATAAATATTCCTCACTATCATTGCGTATCTCACAGGCTAAAGAATGTGTGAGGTAGATAAGCATTAGCATTGTTTTCATGGCTTCCAATATTAAGCTAATTAAGATTTGTGCTGCTGTGCAGGAACAGTAGAGTGAGTGATTGACAAGAAACAGACTGACAGTTGTTGCACAAAACACACTAACAGGTTCACTGATTGCCTAAAGGTGTAGTTTGAAACAGCCCCCCCAACACTGTTCAGCACCCCTTTTTTATTGGTGGGTTGAGTAGACTGATGTACAGAAGCACTAACGCAACAAGAACAGCAGTGATAACAGCACACAGTTGTAAGTTAATCGGTTTAGAAAAATTCAAATACACGGGAAAACAAATGCCTACCCTCAACTTGATTTTTGCAGGGTCACATGACCACATTTGACTCACCTGATGACGATGGTTCCTCCAATGAAGTGAGCTAGGAGGGCCCACGTAAAGAAAGCTCGCACACCATTGTTGCTTGCCGCCCGTCATCGTCGCCACTTTACAAGTGAAGTGAAAGACAAAAAGGGGCTGCAGCGTTCTCTCTGGCCGAAATCGTTGCGCGTTCTCTTTCTCGCCTGCGCCTCAAGCTCTTAGTGGTGAGCTGCACGAGCGGCGAGGTAAAGACCACCATCACGATGAGCGATGATGATGCCGCGACAAATTCAAGCAAAGCACTTTGCGAAACTCTATGGGTGAAAATTGCCGTAGCATAAAGCCGCAACAAATGAGCACACCGCTCGGCCACTCACCATGATTTTCACGGCCAGTGGAAGTGGAGCCATCAATTTTTCCTAGTGCACTGATTATAAAAAGCTTGCTTGTTTTGTGCAAGTACATGGGTTAGTATCTGCACTAATAATATTTAAAGTGTAAGAAAATGACAGCTTACCGCGACAGTTACAAAGTAAGCATCTTGCATTACGCCTACCTGGCACACGCATTTAGCCGTCAGTACCGATGACTGGCAGCATGGTGCTCACTAACATGGAAAATGGGGCCACTTTCGGGCAGGTTTTGCAAATATTCATGGTGGCATTGCAGGAGAATGTCTCCCTACGATATCTTTAAATCCTGCTCGAAGCACTTGATTGCCGACCACAGGGACTTGCGCCACCATAGCTGTCAAAGCAATGAGGCGCTGCTGTCTGCTAGACTTATGGTCACTAGATAAAAAGTTTTCAAGGTAGCTACACTCATGTTCTCGACACCGTCCTCCTCACTCTCTCGCTTACTCCTCCTTTCTCTGTAATTCGCGTCTGCCATTGATGCATGCTTCGCATGTGACGTTGTAAGTGGCTGGTGGTGTTATTTATTGTTATGCAAAGGTTTAAAACCAGTACGCATGCGCGTATAGCTCTGGGCAAATTCCATGCCGTGAAAAAAAGAGAGTAAATATATAGTACGAAGACAAACTGCCTGGGAAGAATGTTCTATTTGATTCCAAGTCAGCCAAGATTGCTTCGCCGTGCTTAGTTCAATTGCAACATCCAACTTTTTCAATAATGCTGGATTGCAGTGAGTAAAAAGAAAAACAGTTTCGGCTCTTTCAACACCTCATGTTAGTCCGAAACGGTGCACAGTGTGAAGTGTAGCTATGAACATTTCGCGCGAGGCCTTCGTTCAACTTCGTCTACGCGCTGTGCGAGGCGAGCTTATTTGTGGGTTTCCGTTGAAATGCCAAGAGCGCGTCGAACACGCGTCTAGTGCATGCCCATTGTTACAGATATTTGTGGCATATGCACATACAATTGAATGCAGCTGAGTAACTTAATGAATGCATTTCCAGGAGCATTTTACGTTAGATAAGTTCGAGCCTCTTGTTCTAGAATGCACCGTAAAGGAGCTGACAAGCGATGCTTCGGGACACCTCAATGGTAGAACTCTCACTTTTTGTGCACCCATATTGCAATATTGCGACCGTGCACAATTACCTGCATCAGGATAAGAAAAATGGATGTATCTTTCCAAAAAAAAGGAAAAAAAAATAGAGTCATCGCAGTGCTGCTAGTCAAGCATTTGTTCCAGTCTGGCCGTGGTTTTCCCTTGCATGTGCACAAGCCGACCAGTGCTTGGAGGCCGTATTTGTGCCCGATTGCCAACAAGAGCTGACTAAATAGTGGTAAAAAAAAAGGCTATGTTCTTGCTGAGCATGTGGCGAAAAGTGCAGAGCGAACGTTATCAAGTTCTTTTGTCATGCAACATTCACATTTCGTGCATTTTCAGAATTTTCGACTGCATAATGAGCGGGAGCATTCAGTATTCACGTTACGCTGATGAAATGCGACGGTACATGAAATCACCTGAATTAGTCTCGGTGAATTAACTCAATGACTCAAAAATTACAACAGCCCTCTGAACAAGTAGGAAAAGAACAATTGAAGGCTCACAAGTTCAGTGGAGAACCACTTCATGAGGAAAAAAAAAGGCGTCGAAAGTTAGTGCACTACGATAAGTGACTAGGGCAGGCTACAGGCCATGTGAGCTCACTTCTTAGCGACATTGCCGCTGCCGCCTTCGTGCTTCAATTCAATGGGGATGGCCTTCGGCCATTCCTTGAGGGCGTTCTTGCGCGTAGCTTCGAAGGCCAGTAGTCCGTTGGGCTCGAGATGGCACCTGACAGACTCCAGGTTGACATCCTCCGGCACGACGTAGCGTCAGGTGAACTCTCGCTTCATGTAGCAGCCACGTTCGTCCGACTTCTTCTCGTGCTTTCAGTGAATGACGACACAGTTGTCCTGCGTCTAAACAGTGATCTCTTTGGGGGTCGAAGTGAGAGTGTCGACGTTAATGGCGAACTTGACGGCGTGCAGGCAACAGAAGTGCCTTTCTGGCAGGCGGGGCAGAGGTGACCTTCGGACGCCTGTCGCGGCTGGATGTAGAAGCGCTGGTGGTAGAACGGCGGGTCGTAAAGCACGCCGTCCAGGAAGGAGCCACCGAAATCATCGTCCAAGGAGCGCCTCACCTAGTCCAAGGGGCCCAGGAACCGCGGTTGTTTAAGCAGGGGAAACAGTGCCATTTTTCGGGCGCTCGTAACTACACCGTGCGATGAGCGACGCCTGAGGCTTTTGAAGTGCGTAAGAGCATAACGGCGCACTCTCTGCACAATTTGTGTTGTGTGACGCACATCTGTTACTTCACTGTTCTAAAACGATTTATTACACATGTAACCACAAATTCTTGCCCAATATGCAGTCTACATAAAGTCACTTTTGAGTTCAGCTACAAGTTTTGGCGTAGCTACCCGGTAGAGTAGTCTACTGCCACTCAAAAGATTCGGGTTCGATTCCCAAGTGCACCATGAAAGTTTTCTTCCTTTTTATGGAGGTTTTTCTCTCTCTTTTTTTAAATTTTGTGCGA